AAAAAAGTTATAGCAATTTAAAAATAACGAAGTGTCAAAAAAACGCTTCAAAACAACCGAAAATTTAAGGGTTGAAAAAACGCCAATTTTTGGCATGTTTTGCAAAAAAAACCCCTTAAAAAATGTGTTTACAGAATTTTCACCAAAAGAGATTTTTTTCAGAAACTCCTAACGAGTCAGAAAAATGTAGTCTCAGCTGAATCGGATAATTAGAAAAAAAGTTATAGCAATTTAAAGTTGGGTATACGTTAAGTGCATTTTTGCATTTCAAAAATGGCCTGATCTAGGAGCCATTTCTAGGCATTTCTGGGCAATTTTGACGGTTATGACGTCATTTTTCAAAATTTTTTCAAAATTTTTTCTTTCTTGCCTAAATGATATTTTTCAAAATCCTTTGAACTGGAGCATCTCTGGGACTCACCAGAAGTAATTTTAGAATAAAAAAAAAATTTTTGAAAATTTTTTTTCAAAGTTGAAAAAAATTGAGAAAAAAATTTTTTTTCACGTTGCCGAAAAAGATTTGGCTTTCTAAACAAATCAGAAGTGTATAAGAAAAAAATTAGCCGAATGGGATAATTAGGGACAAAGTAAGAGCAAAAATTCCAAAAAATTTATTAAAAAGAAAAAATATGTGTGCAAATTTAACATGAAAAAAAATGCAAAAAATTTTTTCTTCATGACGCCCTTATAGGTCTAAGTTTATATACTCTTTTGGAGTGTAAATCCAAAAAAATGGGCAGAATTGGATAATTGGGGAGAAAGTTAGAGCAATTTAAATTTTGACTATTGAAAAAACGCCGATTTTTAAAAAGTGTTTTTGCAAAAAAAAGGAATAAAAATTGGTTTTACGGAATTCGCACAAAGAGGGTTCATTGCAGAAAGGCCTCACGAGCCTGGCGAACCAAGTCTGAGTCAAAACGGATAATTAGGGACAAAGTTAGAGCATTTTAAAGTTGGCGAAAACCCCTCAAAAACCACAAATTTTTCAGCCTATTTTTGTCACGTTTTACAAAAAAAAAATTTTAAAAAATATTTTTTCTTTATTCGCACAAAGAGGGATCTTTGCAGAAAGTCCTAACGAGTCAGAAAAACATAGGCTGAGTCAAAACGGATGATTAGAAAAAAAGTTATAGCAATTTAAAAATAACGAAGTGTCAAAAAAACGCTTCAAAACAACCGAAAATTTAAGGGTTGAAAAAACGCCAATTTTTGGCATGTTTTGCAAAAAAAACCCCTTAAAAAATGTGTTTACAGAATTTTCACCAAAAGAGATTTTTTTCAGAAACTCCTAACGAGTCAGAAAAATGTAGTCTCAGCTGAATCGGATAATTAGAAAAAAAGTTATAGCAATTTAAAGTTGGGTATACGTTAAGTGCATTTTTGCATTTCAAAAATGGCCTGATCTAGGAGCCATTTCTAGGCATTTCTGGGCAATTTTGACGGTTATGACGTCATTTTTCAAAATTTTTTCAAAATTTTTTCTTTCTTGCCTAAATGATATTTTTCAAAATCCTTTGAACTGGAGCATCTCTGGGACTCACCAGAAGTAATTTTAGAATAAAAAAAAAATTTTTGAAAATTTTTTTTCAAAGTTGAAAAAAATTGAGAAAAAAATTTTTTTTCACGTTGCCGAAAAAGATTTGGCTTTCTAAACAAATCAGAAGTGTATAAGAAAAAAATTAGCCGAATGGGATAATTAGGGACAAAGTAAGAGCAAAAATTCCAAAAAATTTATTAAAAAGAAAAAATATGTGTGCAAATTTAACATGAAAAAAAATGCAAAAAATTTTTTCTTCATGACGCCCTTATAGGTCTAAGTTTATATACTCTTTTGGAGTGTAAATCCAAAAAAATGGGCAGAATTGGATAATTGGGGAGAAAGTTAGAGCAATTTAAATTTTGACTATTGAAAAAACGCCGATTTTTAAAAAGTGTTTTTGCAAAAAAAAGGAATAAAAATTGGTTTTACGGAATTCGCACAAAGAGGGTTCATTGCAGAAAGGCCTCACGAGCCTGGCGAACCAAGTCTGAGTCAAAACGGATAATTAGGGACAAAGTTAGAGCATTTTAAAGTTGGCGAAAACCCCTCAAAAACCACAAATTTTTCAGCCTATTTTTGTCACGTTTTACAAAAAAAAAATTTTAAAAAATATTTTTTCTTTATTCGCACAAAGAGGGATCTTTGCAGAAAGTCCTAACGAGTCAGAAAAACATAGGCTGAGTCAAAACGGATGATTAGAAAAAAAGTTATAGCAATTTAAAAATAACGAAGTGTCAAAAAAACGCTTCAAAACAACCGAAAATTTAAGGGTTGAAAAAACGCCAATTTTTGGCATGTTTTGCAAAAAAACCCCTTAAAAAATGTGTTTACAGAATTTTCACCAAAAGAGATTTTTTTCAGAAACTCCTAACGAGTCAGAAAAATGTAGTCTCAGCTGAATCGGATAATTAGAAAAAAAGTTATAGCAATTTAAAGTTGGGTATACGTTAAGTGCATTTTTGCATTTCAAAAATGGCCTGATCTAGGAGCCATTTCTAGGCATTTCTGGGCAATTTTGACGGTTATGACGTCATTTTTCAAAATTTTTTCAAAATTTTTTCTTTCTTGCCTAAATGATATTTTTCAAAATCCTTTGAACTGGAGCATCTCTGGGACTCACCAGAAGTAATTTTAGAATAAAAAAAAAATTTTTGAAAATTTTTTTTCAAAGTTGAAAAAAATTGAGAAAAAAATTTTTTTTCACGTTGCCGAAAAAGATTTGGCTTTCTAAACAAATTTCGTTTAAATTTGATTAAAATTTGGAATTTTTGTAGCTTATAAGCTCCTGAACAAATAATGCTAATGACAAAACTCCCGAAAATTAGTAGTTTTTTAGCTAAATTACGTTGATTTTTAAAGAATGGGTGAAAAATAGCAAATCCTGCTGATGACTGAATATAAGAATATTATATAAGAATATAAGACTGAATATAAGACTCATGGCTTGTTGATGGCTCAAGGCTTAGTTGTGGCTCAAAGCTTAATAATGGATTAAGGCTTAGTTATGGCTGAAGTCTTGCTTTTAACTCAAGTCTGGATTACGGATCAATGCTTAAGCATGGCTCAAGGCTTGATTGTAACTTAAGGATCAATTTTATAGCTTAACGCTTAACTCTTAAGTAATTCATAAAACTTAAATAATTTAACAATTTTTTTATTTAATAATTTGCACCTACCTCAATACCCTTTTGCTCTTGGCTTGCTTGAGATTACTGTTTAAAAGTAGAAATTAGTTTTTTAATAATAAGTTCCGAATATAATAAGATTCGTAAGTTCTGATTTGGTTAATATATTCAAGCATTATTTTTTATTGTAGTTTTTGTAAATAGTTATATATCATATTGAAAATACATAAATTATACTATTTTATTGAACTGTTCATTCAGTCAGATTGATTAGCTATAAAACTAAATCAAAATTGACCTATGTTTTGACGTAACATTACAGCCCTCATGAGGGGGCCCTTAGAAAATCCTGACACTGCGTCTGCTGCAAAGTGTTTTTATATAAAATATAATAAGGAGAGATATGTATATATATATATATATATTAAATAACTAGTTATTATTAGTAACTAATTATTAGTAAGTTAGTTAGAGAGTTAGTTAGTAATTAAGTTTGTAAGTTAGTTAGTCAACTAGTTAGTAAGTTAGTAAGTAAGTTAGTCAGTAAGTTATAGTTAGTTAGTGAGTTGGTTATTAAGTTAGTTAGTTCGTAACTAAATTAAGTAGTGAGTTTGTTAGTTTATTGTTAGTAATCGTTGACTTTTTTTGATTTGAGGTAAAATTTCATTCATAGTAAAAAATAACACCATAATATGGATTGTTTTAATCCATTTTGGATGAACTAATGAATTCTTAGCATATGCTGATAGAAAAAAGAATATAACAAAGAAGAGATTGAATATAGGAGGATTACGTTCTTTATTTATTGTGACATTTTTATTTTTTTTTTATAATAATAGAAAAGTATGTACAAATTCGAATATAATTAAAATGTTTCAGTCAGAAAAATCTCAATCACTATATAGATATATTAAATATTTTTCGCATCATAAGGATATGCATTAAATCTACAATTATATTAAAGAGAAAATGTTAACTAAATATATTAAATTTTTACCAAATAATTTATGTTTTACATTTTATAGAAAGTAAAAAATACAGTTGATAATATTTTCAATTGTCCAACAATTATTTTTTTTATAAATCGTCTCACGATTGAGATAATAGTGACTATTTTTTTTTATAAATCTAGTAATACAGAAGTACCTTATATTATAACATACACTGCGTTAGGTGTTTTATATAAACTTCAAATACGGTAGAATATACTATTGTAATTATTAATAATAATATTTTTTAATTTTAATAATAAACAAAGAAGTTATATTAATATTTTAATTTAATTTTTATAATATTTTAATATAACTTTTACCTTTTAATATAATAATACAAAATATTATTATTAACAATAATAATATTCAATAATAATAGTTATAATTTTATTAAGTATAATAATAAATCAACAAATATATATTTTCTTGAAGCCTATCACAAAAATAAGATACTTATACAATATATATTAATATAATAATATCTATATAATTATAAATAGAAATTTATACATATCGGTGATTCGATGTCATTAAAAAATTTTATCCTCGAGATTGAAAAAGCACGAGGGAATTGAAAAAGAAAATTTCTATAACTAAACATTCAAGGCACAATTTTTGTCTTAACGTAATTTCTGAATTTTTTAACGCAAACTATTATAATTGGATTAAGAGTAATACATTTTTTTGGTAAAATTTAAGAAAAGTAAAATTTTTTTTAATAAAGAAAAACGAAACACAATTTTTGGCTTTTTTTCAAAAAGTGGATAAAGAATAAAAGATTTTTGTGAAATGTATATATACATAACAAGTGTTTATAACAATAAATCGTAAATTATTAAAATTTATTAATAAATTATTTATATTATTAAATTTTGTTGGAAATTATTTCTTAAATATATATTATACATATGTAGCAAATATGAAAAAGTTTCTTTTTTTTTGGCATATAAAAAACGATATTATGTTATTTTTCAATAAGTTACAATTGCTATAGTAAAATATATATAGAGTTTTAACTTTTAAATAATAAATATAGAATGGTAAAATGATGAATGATTGTAAAATATATAAATAAAATTAGCCGTTTGTGTCAAATGAAGATTGAAATTCCTGTGGTCCCTCGATGATGAATTTTTCAAAGAATAAAAGACACGTGGTAAAAACAGAAGATGATACGCCTTGCTCAATGTATTCGAACTGTGTCAATGCCATCATCTCCAATGAAGAACTACATGTTTTTCTTCATGTGGCTCTGTAAATTAAAGAACTGTTCTTAATTTCTTATTCAACTATAATTTCGTTTTTTTTATAAGTTTTATGATATTATAATTAATATTAGTAATGATAATAATTCAATATGAATTTTTAATTAAGTAAATACATTGTTAAATATAACCTATAATTTTTTGTCACATAAGTTCCCTTTTACTGAAAAACGTCACATTATATATTATATTGCAATGTTCCTGCAAACTTCCTAAAAAAATAGTATGCTATGTAGTTTGCATAATATAATTATAATAATAATAATATAATAATAACTTATTTTTCAGAATAAAATAAAAATATTCAAATAACACTTTTTCTTTTTTAAGGCCTTGTAAAAATATTTACTTCAACAATAATTATTATTATTATTTGATAATAATATTATCAAATATTGATATTATTTTTATTAATTATGTACTGTTATTATTATTATTTTAATATTATTATAATTTGCTTCTTGTTAAAACCGTTCTTTTTTAATTATTTTATTACAAAAGGCTTAAAAACTAATATTATTGTTATAATTATTTATATTTATTTCATAAATGTGATATAATTATTATTATTATTATTTTCATTAAGATTGTTAAAAAAAGTGGAATTAATTTTGTTAATTGTTATCGAATAGTTATGAATAAAGAAGAATAAAAATTTACGTTAGTTTAAAATAATAATACGTTAGTTACGTATTTTACGTTAGTTGTTTAAATTTAGTCATATATATGTTTCATATGTAAAATGTTAAAAATTATTTTAAAATAAAAATTTTAATGCAAATAAATAAGTACCTATATATATATAAAAAATTTTGTAATTTTTCATTATTGTTTTAGTTGTGAATAATACCCTCTCTGTTGTTTTAAATTAGAATACAAGGAAATTAGAGGAAAAAATAGAATAGAATTCTATTATGAAATTTATGAAACAAGTTTTGTATCTTATAAACAACTTCTTTAAGAAAAACAATAAAAAAAAAGAAATAGTTAAATTAATTGAAAATTGTGATTTTTAAACTTGAAATGACTTTTATAAAGTTGACGCATTTTATACTTCCGCTATTATCTAATAGTATTTTTTTTAATTGAGTTTTATTAACCATGTGAATTGCGTGACAAATTATTTTTTCATTGTTATTAAGCAATTCTAATTTGAAAATCATTTTTCTATTTTAAAACTTATATTTATAAGGTAGCATTTGTTTCTAAAGTAGTATTTTTTATTATTTAATTTTAAAAAATATTTTTTATTACTTAATTACAAAAAAAAAAGATTTTAAATTCTTTCATTTCAAAAGAAAAAAAGATCTTGAATTCTTTAATTTCAAAAAAAAGTATTATAGTAATAGTACTAATTTTTTCGTTCATTAAAAATTAAGTTATTCCACTTTTAAAGGTCAGGATGAAAATTAATTTTTAAGAAAGATAAAAATTTACTATTGAATAGAAAATCGCTTGACTAGTTAAGAAATGACTAATAACAAATATTCTAATAATTCAAATTAAACTTAATTTTCAATAAAAATTTTAGTGCTCATTGAGCATTAAAATTGCTTAATGAAAATTAATTTACATTATTAAGTTTTTAATTTTGAAATTTAAATTTTTTTTTAAAAATTTTAATTATATAATTAAAAAAAAACTAAAATAACTAATGTAACTAAAATACTAAAATAACTAATTATTCGTGATACCTTGGAATACTTTTTTTCAACAGTTAGCAAAAGATAGTTATTATTTATTAATAAAAGAAATGACTAATTTTAGTAAGTATAAAATGACTTAAAAAATTATTCATTAATTAAATTAATTAAAGTCAATAATTAATTCTGACGAGGTGAATTAGTTACAAGAAATTTTTTATATTTTTTCATAATCTAAAAATGAATGTAACTAATAATTTATTATTTCTAACTAATAATAATAAAAACTAATATTAACTAATATTATTATTCGAAACAATTACTAACTGTTTGCTAATTAGTTTACTATTTTTAACTATTTTAAATTAGGAGAGATTGTTAAAAGACCAATTAAAATAGATTGACTTTTTGATGATTGATTGAATTATGAAAGTGACGTGTGAATTATTCACTGTTAATATATTGATTGATTAATAATTTATTTAATGAATCCCTTGATTGATTTATTACTAATTTGAATAATTAATCCCTTCATTGATCGAATGATTGATGGACTGATTGATGGACTAACTGTTTGATCGACTGATTGATTGTCTGATTGTTTGATTGACTGATTGATTGACTGATTGATTAATTAACTGATTGATTGACTGATTGATTAACTGATTGATTAACTGATTGATTGATTGACTGATTGATTGTCTAATTGTTTGATTGACTGATTTACTGACTGATTAATTAACTGATTGATTGACTGATCGGTTGATCGATTGATTGACTGATTGATTGACTAACTGTTTGATTGACTGATTGATTGATTGATTGATTGATTGATTGATTGATTGATTGATTGATTGATTGATTGATTGATTGATTGATTGATTGATTGATTGATTGATTGATTGATTGATTGATTGATTGATTGATTGATTGATTGATTGACTAAATGTGTGACTAATTGATTGACTAACTGTTTGATTGACTGATGTACTGACTGATTGATTAACTGATTGATTGATTGTCTGACTGAATGTTTGACTAATTGTTTGATTGACTGATTGATTTATTAATTTACTGATTGATATGCAAATGAATTCATTGGCTTTTTTCAGTTGATTGATTGATTGATTGATTGTTTGATTGATTTATAAATTTACTGATTGATATGCAGATGAATTCATTGTGTTTTTTCAGTTGATTGGTAGATTGATTGATTGATTGATTAATACGTAGGCGAATTCTTTTTCTCTCTAGTGGATTAATTACTTGTTAAAAATTTATGTTTGATTTAGTGATGAATATATAGATTACTTAATTGCCTCCCTATAGTGGATTGATTGATTGAATTTTTAATTTGTAGATAAAATGACTTTATTTTTACTGGATCAAATGATTGATAAAATAATACATAATAGAATTTATGTAACGTAAATAAAATGATTGTAGGATTATTTGATTGATTGATTGATTAATTAACTGCTTGATTGACTGATTGCTTGATTGATTGATTAATCGATTGATTGATTGACTGAATGTGTGATTGACTGATTGATTGACTAACTGTTTGATTGACTGATTGATTGATTAAATGTGTGATTGACTGATTGATTGACTGATTGATCAACTGATTGATTAATAAAAAAAATTTTTGTTTTGCAAAAAAAATGTAAAAATACAATAAAATTTAAAAAAAAATTTTAATTCCTTAAATACTAACCTTTTTTGAAGGGTAAGAATTTCTCTGATTTTCGTTTTTTGATTTGGTTTTGTTTTTAATTTCTCAATCTGATGAAATAGCCTCTTGAAATATTGATGGGAAATTATTCCATAATGAAACGAATCTTATCTTATTTGACGAGTCCTTTTTAATCTCTCTCATCTTTTTTCTTTCGAGCATTTTTTTGGCAAAATATCATTGACCCTTTTGCTTTAAAAGTTTCCTCGTGCGAAAACCACGAAATCCAGCTTGAATTCTTGTTGCCGCTTGTTGCTCCTGTTGGTGTCTCTTGCGCACCAAAAACCCACGTATTCCAGCTTGTATTTTTGTCGCCGATTTTTCCTCCAATGAATTTTTCATTGAATCATTGTCACTCATTAATGTCGGTGGACTGTAACAATTACTAGTGACATCATCATAATCACTGTCGCTATTGCCCTTCGATGAATAATTATTTGATTCCTTCAATTGTTTTCGTACACGATAGCCGCGAAAGCCAGCTTGAATTTTTGTCGCTGCCTTGTTTGCCTTCATTTCCTCTTCGGTGGCTTTAGTCATTTAAGAGAAAAACTAAAAGAAAAATAATCCTTTCCTTTCGTTATTTTTTTTTTTTTTTTTTGTTCACTTGGACAATTATTTTCCTCTCACTTGACAATTGTTCTTTATTGTCACTTTTATTTTCTTGAAATTATTTTCAAAAAAGTTTTTTCGACTGCAAACTAGTTTGAAACTAGTTTAAAACTAGTTTCAAACAAATTTTTCAAACAATTTTTCAATCTGGAGTAAATATCGAAAAATTCCAATATTTAACGATCAGCAGTATTTTACTATTAAAAAAAAAATATAATAAATATCTTCTTTTTTCGAATTTGAAAATTTTTCACAAGTAAAAATTTTATTTTTTCTCCAGTATTCCTAATTTTCTTCGTCTTATTTTTCTTAGAAAACTTTTTTATCTCGTAGAATTTTTTTTTGTTGGCAAATATTAATGATGAAAAAAAACTAACTAATGAACACTGAGAATTTCCTTTTTTCACAAAGTTTCGTACAACTCGAGATGTGGAGTGAAACTAGAAGCAACAGGCGCTCGCAATTTAATGTATATAGGAGACGCGGCTAATATAAGCAAACGCATGCGCATTATGGATTATATCGAATAATTTTTTTTTATTAACAATTTAAAAATTCATTTTTCAAAAATTTATTTTTAACTATTTATTTAATTATTCGCTTCCATTTTAATTTGTTTACTATTTAAATATTTCTATTTCGTTAATTCTAATTGCTCGTAATATTTTATATATCATTACTTTAGTATTATAGAATTTTTTTTTATTAATTCCTGTGAGGTATCGTTACTTGATTATTATTTTTAAAAATTTTAATAATATTTTTCTCAAGTATTCAATTATCCTCATATTTGAAATTCTTTGAAAGATATAATTCAATTATTTTTATAAACTTCGTTTATAACAAAATTCTTCATAGGAATTCAATTTATTATCAATGCAATTTTAATAAAATATCTCGAACATTTTTTTTAAATTCAATTATTCTCAAAAATTTTTTTAAAATACTTTATAAATTTCAATTATTCTCAAAAATTTTTTAAAAATACTTTATAAATTTCAATTATTTTAAAAATTTTCAATTAAAATTACTTGAAGGACATTTTAACCATTATATTATTAAAAAAAACTATTATTTTTTTAAAAATTTAAATAAATTCTTAAAAGTAATTCAATTATTTTAAAAAATTTTTAATAATTTTTTTCCAAACAATTCAATTATTTACTTAAATTTTGATAAAATTTTTCGAAACATATTTAATTATTTACAATGCAATTTTAATAAAATATCTCGAACGGATTCAATTATTTTGAAAAATTCTAATAAAATTTTTTTAAAAAAATTCAATTATTCTTAAAAGTTTTGATAAAATTCTTTGTGTATTTCAATTATTTTTGAAATTTTAAATTTAAACTACTTTAAGGATATTTGAACCATTATTATTAAAGAAACTCTATTATTTTTTAAAAAAACTCAAATAAATTCTTAAAGATAATTCAATTATTTAAAAAAATTCTTCTAACATTTTTTTGAAGATTTCAATTATTTACATAAGTAATAAAATTCCTTGATGAGAGAATTTAATTATTTTAAATTCAATTTTAATAAAATTTCTCGAACGGATTTAATTATTTTTAAAAATTGTCATAAAATTTTTCTTAAAAATTCAATTATTTTAAAAAATTTTGATAAAAATCTTTGTAAATTTTAATTATTTTTCAAATTTTCAATTAAAATTACTTGAAGGACATTTGAACCATTATATATTATTAAGGAAAACTCTATTATTTTTTTGCAAATTTAAATAAATTCTTAAAAGCAATTCAATTATTTAAAAAAGTTCTTATAACATTTTTTGGAAGATTTCAATTTTCTATTATTTTAAAGATTTTCAATTAAAATTACATTATTTCCAAGAAATTCAAAGAAATTCTTCAAAAATGAAATAATTATTTACGATAACTTTAATAAAATTCTTTAAAAGAATTTCATTTTTTTCAATAATTGTAATAAAAATTTTAAATAACAATTATTAATAAACTTCAATTATTTTAGAAACTTTAAAGAAATTCCTCATAAAATTCAACTACTTTCGAAATTTTCAATAAAAATTATTAAAAAATGCGAATATAAAAATTCTATTATTTTTAAAAAGTTCAAATAAAATTCTTCAAAAATAATTCAATTATTTTCAAAAATTTTATTAACAGTTTTTGTAAGATTTCAATTATTTTTTATTAATTTACAACATAATAATAAAAAAATCAATTATATTGTTTAATTATAATAATATAAGAAATAAAAAAAAATTATGATTAAATTTTTCTTCTTTCTTTATTTGAAAATAAATTGAAAAAAATTTTTAATAAAAATTGATAAAAAGAAATGACGCAGTAGTTTTTATTTTCAGAGAGATAGAAAAAAAAATTAAGAATGAAATTAAGAATTTATTTTCATTGATTGATATGAAGGGAATTTAAGAATCAAGGGTGAATCCTCTTCGTGGAATGTTTTACGTTTATATATAAAAGAGCAGAGCTACATAATACGCGCGTGTGTGCTTGTATTTGTTGAAGAGATTAATTTTGCAGAAGAAATATTCTCTATGCGCCAGAATTGATGTAGGTTATGAAATGTTTTCTCTTCTTGTTTTGGCTAATGAACAATTTTTATTTTTTTTATTTATATTATTTTCTTTCTTCAATCAAGTCAATTTTATTATTTAACGAAATTATCATAAAAATGGTCGCAGTTCTGTATACTTTCGGATTTAAAACAAAGTGCAATAAATTTTTTCAATTTTAATTCGAATTTTTTAAATTCTTTTTAAATTCAAATATTTTTAATATTTCAATATTTCAATATTCATCTCGAGGTGAAGTATTAGTTAAATTTAAATTATTTTTAGTCGACATTTTGAATTTTTTCATTCAAATTAATTTTAATAGGTAGGGTCAATATAAGAATTGAACATAAACTCAAAATTTAAGGCAAAGATCAAGTCAATTATTAAGTTAAATTTGAATTAAAAATTTAAGCCAAAAATCAGAGGTTAAAAGGCGAACGTAGCCTTAAAATTTAGGTCAAATTTTAGAGATAGAAAACATAACCTATTTATAGAAGAAAACACAAAATAATCGCAAATTTAAAATCCTTCAAAAATTAGTAGTTCTCCCTTGGGGGGGGGGGAAGAAGTTCGAAAATCTGACGAATAGAAATATTTTTTTCAAATCATACATCAATTATAATAAATATTTTCCCTGATAAGAGGTGTGAAGTTTTGTTATTTGACGCCGAAGAAGTAATTATATATGTATATGTGGCGATAAAGCGTGAAAATAGGAGTCATTTGGAAATAATGTTAAACGCGCGATTCGCATGTTAAATACTACGTCATAATTACCTCTCTCTCTCTCTCTCTCTCTTGTCACCACTCACAATATTACGTCACTTACAGGTGTGCTTTTCCTCTTCATACTCGTATATTATCTTATTTTATAAACGCACGTGTTGCGCCTGCATCCATTATATTATTCTCGTTTGCACTATGACAGTATGGTTGATGTGATCGATAAAATAAAATTTATAATACACACGTTCATTTATTAAAGTGAAGAAAAGAGAGAAAAAAGAAGGAGTTAAAATAAAAATTGACCTTGACGAACATTGATATTAACTTTATCGAAGTGCTTAATGACGTCACATCCGCATTGTCCACAACGTCACGTGTGATTACGTTCATATCAGATATATATCGACACGTCAAAGGAAGAGTGACGAGATTTTTTTTCTCAGTCCACATCGTTGGACATATACTATATATATGGTGAAAATAGAATGAAGAATAATAAAGGTCATTGATTGTTCCCTGACCCTCAATTCCTGGTAACGATAAATTGACCGCAATTAGAGTTACGGCTATGACTGCGATAGGGATTTTAAAAATATTTTGTTTTTCACTTTTACATACTCTTCTCTTATTTGTGTGCGCATTAATAGGTTACGGTCAATGTTTTTCTTTGGTCATTTTTACCATAATCAAATAAATAAAATAGTAAAATTTATTTTTTTCCACCATATTGGATCCGCTATTTTGAATTTTTTAGAACCGACATCATATTTAAAATCAGCGACCCCGAAAACCCCGTAGTAACAAGTTGCAGGACAATAGATTCATTATTAAAGAAGTTTTCCGCCATATTGGATCCGCCATTTTGAATTTCGAGAAACCGACATCAAATTTGTAACCAGCGACCCCGAAAACCCCTGAGTAACAAAATTAAGTTGAATTCAATTAATTTTTGAAAAATTGTCCGCCATATTGGATCCGCCATTTTGAATTTCGAAAAACCGACATCATATTTGTAATCAGCGACCCCAAAAACCCCTGAGTAACAAATTTCAACCGAATCTAATGAGTTTTTAGAAAAATTGTCCTGAGTAACAAAATTAAGATCAATTCAATTAATTTTTGAAAAATCTTCCGCCATATTGGATCCGCCATTTTGAATTTTGAAAAACTGATATTGGATTTGTAATCACCGACATCGAAAACCCCTTAGTAACAAAATTGAGGTGAATCGAATTAATTTTTGAAAAATCGTCCGCCATATTGGATCCGCCATTTTGAATTTCTAAAAACTGACATCATATATGTAATTATAAAAATTTATAAATTAATTCTATAATAATTTATCAAATAAATATAATAACAAATAACAGTAATTTGAAACCAAAATTAAAACAAAACAATAATTGAAAATAATCTTTATATATTTATTTAAAAAATTAACTATAATAATTTGAATGTTCTTTTATTCATTCAATTTATTATTATTATGCAAATTACAAAATTTTATATTTTCAAATATAAATTTTTTAAATAATTTCATAATCAAAATTTAAAAAATTTACTTATTAAGTACAAAATTAATTATTAGGTACTGTTCTCGGTACTGTTCATATTTTCAAAATTTTTTTTTAAATTTCACGAAAAAATTCAATTATTTTCTAAAACTTTAATAAATCCTTCTAAACAATTCAATTATTTTTTTAAATAGTAAAATCTTTACCAAAATTCAATGATTTTCAAAAAAATTTTAATTGAATTCCTTTGGATGAATTCAAATATATTTAAATATTTCTATAAATTTCAAATATTTCCTAAAATTTTAATAAATTCTTCGAAACAATTCAACTTTTTTTATAAATACAAAAATTCTTTGCAGGAATTAAATTATTTTTAATCGAATTTAAATAAAATTACACGAAAGAATTTAATTTTTTTTTAAATTTCCATAAAATGCAATTTCAACAAGTATTTAAAATTCTCTCAAAATAATTCAATTATTCTCAAAATATTTTTAAAAAAATTCTATATCAAAATTAAATTTCTCTCTATGCAATTTTTAAATATATTCGTCAAAAAAATTGAAAAAATTCAATTATTTTCAAAAAATAATAAAATTCTTGTGATGAATTCAATTACTTATTTTGAATATACTT